TGCCCCAACCTCCCAGCTGATTGCCTGATCCATAGGGCCCCAAGAATTGACCTACGAAACAGACATCTTTTTCTACACAACACATAGGGGAGGGGGTATCAATGGCAAGCTGGAGCCTGCTGGTCCTAAGTGAGGATTGAATGACCCCAGCAAAGGACAGCAAACTTGCTTCTATCAAGTTCTGCCTAACTCCTTTATTTTCTTCCTGGTGTGGGAGCCTCTGTCTCCCTCACACCAGTGTTTGGGTAAAATTATCTGAGAAGATGGAAGGTAGCCAACCACAACAACTCTGAGATTTCTCTAGTTTCTTGGATCATAATCAGTCAGGCTTTAAGCCGAGGCTTGGCATCAGGACTACATTGCTGCTCCGAGTTGATGACTTTCTGGGAATAAACAGAGGTCAGATGTCCAGGCCGACTTTATTAGATCTGCCAAAATCTTCTGATCCAGTTGACAATAAAGCAGCCGTGCTCTGGCTACAGGATTTGGCAGGGGATAGTATCATTATCTTCAAGTCCTGAGTCCTTAACGAGAAACCTCCAAAGCTCTAAGGAATATCTGTGACCATCATTATTCCTTAGCTGTTTGGGAAGTGTTTCAGATCTTAAAACTATTGGGACTAGAGATTCATCTTTTGCTGTTAAACTGTCTCTCCTGTCTACAATCATGATCCTTCTCTCTTTTGCTTGTTTGAGGGTGCTATGGGGAATTATCACAGCTGGAGAACAGACCCCAGTTTCTCTAGGGGTTACTCAGATGATAGCTGGAGTCATCACCCCTAGAAGTCGCCAAGACTGAAACTGTGGACTCACTATGACTTAAGAGTCAGAAGCACTGAAGCTCTGGACACCATGCTTGACACTGGTTTCCACGGTGCCTAGGGATAAAACTGCGTTGGGATTAAGCAGCGGATAAAAGATGACTGAGAGCAGGAATACTGCAAGGCAGTGTGCTAAGACAAGCACTGAGCTTCCACACAGCACTGGACAGAACAGAGTGGCTATCCAGTGTGTCACAGCCTCCAACATCTCCACCCACCCAGAAGAAAACTCAAGCTGCAGAACAAAAGGCTCATTTTTTTCCTGCTTGAGACAGTAAACCCTTAAGAGTGATGTAATCAGTGTATTTTAAAAATAGGAGTTGGGGGAAGGGCGTGTTTCACAAGCGGCACTTCTCAGTGGCTTTTCCTCAGTTGCAGTACTTGTGTTGGTGCAATCCAGAGAGAAGTCTTGGTTAAGAAGCCTACCTGCTGTCGTCCAGTGAAAACTAAGAGCAGTATTTTAAGATCTTTATATAAAATGACTTTTCTGGTTATTGCTTTTGCCTTTGATGCTAGGAAACATAGCTTCTTTGAATTTTGGAAGGAATTAATTTGTAGATGACATCATTCAGTATATTCAAATATTGCAAGATTCAGTTTTGTTTTGTTTTGTTTTGTTTCCCTTTAATCAGCATTTGCTTTTCTTGGTCAAATGCAGCCATTTTTAGGGTAATAGTTACTTAACATGCCTGGCACATTATTGAAATCCCTTATGAAAGGTTCAGAATGAGTCAGGAAGGTCAGTTTATTCCTTGGCCAGGTTCCTTTCACAACACAGGTTTTCCTGTGCTGCTGTTCAGGAGGAACAATTAAGACTTTTTGTGTATTCAAAGCTTTCCAACTGAATCCTGACCCCATCAAATGATATCATCAGAGCTCTGGGTTTTTGCTGGTGGTGCACAGCTGTCAGTGACTCTTTGGATGCTTTTCTTTCCCAAGCTTAAAACACGAGATCTGAACTCTAATGGCTGCCCTGCTTATTTCTATGGCAGTCCCCTTTACCATGTCTTTCTTACCATCTCATTGGTTTTCTGCAGGCTTAGCCACTTTTGGTTGCATTGTTTCTATGCCTTAGACAGACACAGAAATTCTTTACATTACTACTACTTTAAAAAGCCCTCATTAAAATGCTTATAATTCTTCAGAGTGGTCTTGCTAACACTCAGTAGGTAAAAAAACACTGAAAAACCAGTGGCTACCCCAGATTCTCACAGATCAGCGGCTGACACTGGAAATGTCCCACTCCACCTGATGTACACTAGATGATAGATAGGTACAGAATATCAGGGTGGAAAGAATTTAGCTCCAGCTGCCTTTTGAAGGGTGCTTTCTCAGAAACTCTTGCTTCAGAACTATCTCATTTCTCCTATTCGAGTTCCACTGAAGATGAGCCAGTCTTTTATGAACCATAAACGTACTTTGCATCCTCCCTGGACACAAAAATTTCCCCTTGCTCTGCCCAGTTTTTCTATTTTCTCTGGCTTTAAATTCTAGTAGTTATAAAAACAGAAAATGTTACAGTTCAAGATGTATTTATTTTTTAAGGCTCTGTCCAAAGCCACTGGTTTGAAAGAGTTGCTCTTCTCCACTTTTTTGGTCAGACTCAAGATGTTCTAACTGAAGAGGTTCAGGGAAGACAGGCTAACAGAGCTTTGATTTCATGGTGTTAAGTTTAATAATTAGACATAAGCAGAGAGGAAAGACATTTTTCTCCTATGTTCCTGCGTTAGCTGGCAAAGAACAATGACAGATATTTTAATAGTTAATGAGAAAAATGGTAAATTGTCAACTTCAACCATGGGACTTTTTATGTAACACCAAGTACTTACTTATTCAAAGGAAATTGTCCTATAGCCTTATGCAGAGCTTTTGTTCAACTGTTAAAATTGCAGTGTTATCATTGCCACATCTCAGGGGGAGAAGGGAAGTACTGTCCAAAAGGCAATAATATACAAATGCGTCAAGGCAAAAGAAAAGAAATAATAATGAAATCTTTATTTTTGAATCCCAGGTGGATGGAGTCCGAGAGAGACTGTCAGAGCAACAGTACAACAGACTTGTGGACTACATCACAAAGACGTCTTGTCACCTGGCCCCTAGCTGCTCTTCCGCACAAACACCATGCCCTGTGGTACCTGTGGAGCCTCTCCCCTCCACTCTTAAAACATACCACTATTTAGTTGATCCATACTTTGCTCAGGTCTTCATTAGTAAATTTACTATGGTAAAAAATAAAGCCCTGAGGAAAGGGTTCCCTTGAGTCCCCTCTGAGGTGTTCCTCTTCTAAAATTAATTCAGATTCTTACCTTTACCCTAAAAAGAAATACTTCAAAATGGAGTGAAAAAATGTCATTCCTTTTACATTTGGGGACAATGATGTCATATACACAAAATGCATTCCTTTTTGCGCTATAATGCTGTTGACTAAAATTTTCACTATAAATTATCAGGACATTAACTCTGCTCTATTGCAAAATTGGTCAGGGCTTAGAATGGAAGAGCTAAAATTCAAAGGTCATTCCCAGTTGCATCTGTTTTGGGGCAGAGAAACCATCTCTCTGCCCAGTACCCCTGCCTGCAAAGGTGTTGGATTCTTAACTGCTTAGGACACTATTGTTTTACTTGTTAAATTTGTTACTTAACTGCTGATGCTATTCATTTAGTGAAAGTTATTACGTACCCTCTAAAGTCTGCATTTTCCAAAGTTTACAAAACAAAAACACTGATGACTGTCCATGTGCAGTCTAGAAAAAATACTGTGTTTTACTAGGCAAGGCAAGCTTAGAGTGAATCTTTTTAACTACCAATGAAAAGAGCACCAGAGTGCTCAGATGAGTTTCTTCAGCTCCATAAATAATAACACACACTCCCAGAAGTCCCTGTGGGGGGGGGGGGGTTAGCCATTATGCACTTGAGGGAGTTAGGAACCCTAGGGTTCACAGTGACAACAGTCCATCCACATGGCTTTGTTCAAGACACTAGGTTACCAGACATCTTAAATATTCAATAACTATAGTCTAATTACATCCAAACTTGGGCCTGCAAGTTAGTTAGCCTCTCTCAATTGTAGGTGACAAGAAAATGTTACTTAACATGCCCACTCCACTAGTCTAACTTAAGTCTCACATGTTGCTGGGCTTAAGAAGTCAGTTGTTTCTGGAAAGCAAGAATGTTATGGACAGTTTGGGCTGAATATGAAAAGTGGTTCATTCATTTGTTGTGTAATAGTCACTTAGGAAAGTGACAGTTTTGTCAATCTCAAGAGTACTAACTTTTTAATGTAAATATGTATTCTTGTATCTTTTATGGTAATTTTGCAACCTGCTTCTAAGAATTGTTATATAAAATAATTTAAAATAAAAGATTATCCCTGAATTACTGACTGCACATAAATGTCTATTCTTACCAGGAACTTTTTTACCACGCAATTGTTCACTAATACCTGGGTTTAGTACAGTTCATTCACATCACTAAGACTCAAGAATTCTGCAGATAATGTAAAAAATACAGTTTTTGGTATCTTGGTGAAGTGACAATTAGTGATTAAACTAGCTTTGGCTAAAATCAAGCAACCTTTAAAGCTCTCTCTCTCTCTAGTTTATCACTTTGATCACAACAAAAACATAATGAAGGTGAAAAAGGTCCTAAGACTTCCTCAGAGAAAAGTTATACTATACTCTGCTAGCCATTAGCAAACTCAATTCCAGGTAAGTAGCTAAAAGGACTGCTTTTCTGGATTAGATACATATCCCGAATTTCATACATACACTGTTAGCTCTTCAGCAAAGCAACACCAAGTCTTAAATTTCAATTATCTACTTCATCTGCCTAGTGTTAGCAGGGCTACCAAAGAATGGCAATGAAGACCAAGGACAGATTTTACTGGAAAGGTCATCTGTGTCCCTTCGTCTTACACAAGGCTCAGGGCCCACAGTATAGTCGTCAGGTAGACCTCTTAAATCCATGGCTCAGAACCAAGTAATCACACCTAGTAGTACCTGAGTGAAAAGGACAAAATGCCAGGACGCTCAAAGATGTACTGTAACAATGAAATTTTTAAATCTCTGAAATCAAGTTCTCTTCATAAAGGTACATACACACAGTTAAAATCCCTAACCAGTTCTAATGCTTTTAAATGCCCTGAGTTATCAGTAATGGTAATTAATTGAGTAAAGAGTTATACTGTCCAAAGTATTGTTTATTTACCAACAAGAAATTATTCCTTAGCCCACACAGTCATGGTTCAGGAACACAGGTCAGTGACAACTTTCATGGAACTCAATCCAAAGAAATTCTGTGGAGAGAAGCACAATGGCTAACTTAGTGACAAACATTCTCTCAATACCTTTACTATCTCTGAGATCACCTGCAGTCTATTCCTACCAGTGGACCCCAAACATGAATCATTCACCCTCAGCCCCAGGAGAAGGCCCAGCTCAGGCTGCTGGACTTCAGGCTCATTCTCCTCTAACCTCTTGATCACTCCAATCAGCCTCTTCTCTGCTTTGGGCACACCACACCTTACTCTCATTTCCCTGCTTTCATTTAACAAATTCTGCTTTTTCATCACCTCTCAAGTCCACCCTCCTCCATTCCCTCTCATACCCTAGACTGTTCCCAACATTAGTCAAAAAAAGAAGCCCATCTGTTTCAAACAATACGTCCCTGTCTCCAAATCAATTTTTTTTAAGTCTGCTTTTAAATAATCAAATTCTTATGAATAAAAAAAAAGTAACATAAAGTCAGCCTCCTAACATCTTTTGATTGTGAAATGCACACCCACCGTAGAAAATTTAAAAATTTCAAAGTTACATGAAAACAGCAGTGTTATGATTCCAAATACAACCTTTAAAATATTTTCTTGGGTTCCCTTCAGTCTTTTTTCTGTACAATTTTTTATATAACATAGATCACTATAAAGGGTCTATAAAACACAGTATTCTGAATCTTCTATTATGTCAAAATTTATTAATGTTACTTTGTGATCATTTCTCATGGGCATAACAGTCCATGGTATGAAAAAGATCATAATTTCCTCTTTTCCAACCACTGAAAATAAACATTTCTATTTTTTCTATTATAAATAACACATGTATGCATCTATCTGCATTTCAGATATTTCCTTAAGATAACCGACTAGAAATGGAATGCTGTGGAATCAAATCTTTTATTAGGCAAAACTCAGTCAAAACTACTCTGGAATCTCTTAAAAAACTGATCTAAGTCCAGGCAGCAGGTCTTCTGACCCTAGGTGTTGGGAAAATAAGTGAACTAAGTTGAAATGCTAACATCTGCCTGAAAAAATAGCAGATCCACATTCCCATGCTGTATCAAAATCACTTCCAGGGCTGAGTGGTAGACAGAATCTTTATTCAAATTGTCCTCTTTCATTTTTGGTTGATCTTGTCTAAAGTTAAATACCTGCACGATACGATTCCAAAGTATGAATAGTTTCATAAGGTACTTGACACATGCTTTCAAATAAATTTGATGAATTCCTTTTCATCAGCACAAGTCAGTCGTTTTCAAAGCATAGTACATTCTGAAAGTGTGATTTTCCTAACGTCAGCCTAGCAGTTAGTAACAGCATAATCTGAAAAAGGGTTCTGAACATAAAAAAGTACAAATAAAATAATATTACCTTTACATTCCAAAATCATTTTGCACTCTGAAAGATACCAGCTTTCCTCATCTCCTCAAAATCCTTCATGGAATCATAATTTCTATAAAAATCTGCATATGCCTTCTTTCTTGGTTCAGCTACTGCAAACTAAAAAGTAACAGTTAGGATTTTTTTTTTCAATTATTACAAATTTAATACTTAAAGAAAAGGTTAACTCCTAGTACGTTTCAGTTCACCTTTAATTTGAACCCTACACTTTTAAGACAAGGAGTGGAGGAGGTAACACAGATGCAAGGAAAGAAGAGAAAGCAGCTGTAGAGAAACTACACAAGAGGGGCCTCCTTGCCCAGGGGCAGATTATGCCTTTCACTGGGCAGTGCATGTCTGTTGGGGGTGGGGGGAGGCATGGCAAGGCCAACTGGCAAGAGCCAGAGAAAGACACCCAAAAGGCTAAAAGGTGCTGCCAGGGGGAAGACTGCAAGCTTCCTTCCAGCAAAGCTTAAAGAGCTTGATACCAAAACATGCTAAAATATATTGGTTCAATTTAAGCCACAAAATGAATTTCAAAGGATTCTGAGTAACCATCTGCCTCTAAAAGGCACAGAACAGTTTCTATCTGGCAAGAACAGTTCTGGATGATTTACACTTCATAATTTAAGCCCGAAGAGTAGGCACTGACCTGTTTTTACAAATGAGGAAATGGATTCAAAGTTTAAGTGATTCGATCAACATCCATAAAGAAGCATTAGATCGCAGGTGGCCAGACTAGGATTCAAACCCAGGTCTGGCATATGGCAAAGTTTTTATTCTCCAAAATACACTGCATAGTGGATTTTAATGTGTGGTTTATAATCCAAATTCAAATGCCATAATGCATATATATACACCAGTAAAAATTCAAGTGCCACCTACATCAGTGAAGGTACTGCTGAAATACACGGAACTATACTACCTGACGGAGTAACACAGTAAGAAGCCCCTTCCCTGGTCAGACTTACTGTTCTACCTTCTATTCGAATTCCCAACTTCTTCTAGTAATAGACAAAGGGGCAGGAGCCCCAGTGCCATACTCTGGACTGAGGTCTGCTGGGGTCCATCACCACACAAGACAACAATTAACATTTTGTTAGAACACAACATATTTTTCATTTGAAAAATATAGACCACCAAGGCAGAGAAAGTAATAGGCTTAGTAAGTGAACCTAAGAAATAAAGCAAAGTGATTTTATAACCCCACATAAATTATTTTGTTGTCTGTTTCACTTTAAATGGAAGGGAGATTTTTTTAAATCTGAAAAATCCACTTTGGCAAGAAAAGTATATAAGTTATAAACTTAGGGCCACCAGATCATGAGTAACTTGAAGCCATAAAATACAATCTATACCTGAGGCCTTATAAAGATAAACCACTACCTGAAGATTTACAACAACCCTAATTTATATGATAATTAAGGACTTCTTGTGGCACAAATGGTTAAGTGCTCAACTATAGCCAAAAGGTTGATGGTTTTAACCCACACAGAGGCGCCTCAAAAGACAGGCCTGGCAATCTGCTTCCAAAATGTCACAGCCTTGAATACCCTATGGAGCAGTTCTACTCCGCACACATGGGGTTGCCATGAGTGGGAATCGACTCAATAGCAACTAACAACAGTAACCAGTGAACCTGAGTGTGGTGCCGTAGATCACTTCTGTGTGGCATTTCTACCCATGGTCTTGTAACTTCCACCCAAGTGGTTGGGCGGGACTGTGTGACAGGTAATTGTGGCCCACCTAGGGGATTGGTTATTTTGCCATCCTGCTAGGCTTGAGGTGAGCAATTCCAGAGTCAGGAAAGAGAAGAGCCCACCACCACCAAGGAAGAACAGTCAGGAGCCAGCATGTCCTCTGGACCTGGGGTCCCTGTGCTGAGAAGCTCCTGGAAGCAGGAGTCCAAGAGAGTGAGTGAGCTGTAACCCTGAAGACAGTGAGAAGTGGTGGCAGGAGAGATCCAGCAGCAGGAGACGGCAAGGTGGGCTTCCCGGCCCATGGAGAAAGAAAGTCGAGTGCCTCTGAGCAGAGGCCTAGGACTAGGGAGAGGCGTGCCTGCGAGGCTGGCTGGGAAGAGGCTGTCCTGATGGAAGAAGTGTATCCTGAGTGTTACTGAGCCTGAAAGGTTTAACCGTTACCCTATAATCATAAGTACTGTCTCTAAGTTCCTGTGTGGCCACTGCAATGAATTATCAAACGCAGCGGAGAAGTAGTGTGTGCTGTGGGAGGGACAGCTGCTATCAGAATTGGTAAAGATGACACAGAAAAGAGGCTTGTCTGGCCTCCACCTCATGGAAGTCAGCCTTGAGCTACTGATCTTGGTTCTCCTTCCCCTCTTGAGGGGCTGGCGGAGGTCAGACACCACCTCCAAGCCGTTATTACACTGGGGGAAAATCCCATTCAGGATAAACACTGTTCGTATGCTTCTTAAGATCTAATCCATGTTCATGCATTTAGATTTATGGCAAATTAACTTAACCAAAAATGATTTACTGGATGGCTATTTCACATAAAGAACATAGAAGTTGACCGAAATTGTGAAAACAGTCCAAACCAGTAATACAAAAATACTGGTCTTCGAAAGCACTCAACATTAACCAGGTAGAGGAAAGGAAGGAATTGAGCATCTACTAAGGGCACTGAAGTTCACTCCCGGATCCTCAATGCTTCTGGGAACTTTCCTTCCAATCAAATCCAAACAGCTAACTAAACAAAATCGCTCTGACTCACTTACCAAGCATTTCTTGATTCTCCATCATAACAGACTGACCGTTTGTCTGGCAAGGTACCACCCTCCTAGTCTAACAGAAGAGACAAACTCGGATGCAATACTATGTGCTCAATGCTGTAAAACAGTCTGGTACAAAGTGCCTGAGAACCCAAGAGTGCAACCAACCCATCTGGGGAATGGGCTAGTCTCCACAGAGAAAACGTGAACAGGCCTTGAGAATGAACTAGAATTTGCCAGACACTGAGGTGGAAAATAATCCTGGTAGGGAAAACTGCATGTGCATAAGAATGGACGAAAAGTAGAACCGGGTAACAGTGAGTAGTTCTGAATGACTGGAAAGTTGGGTGTATTGGGAATGATGGAGAAATGACACTGGCAAGGTGGAGAAGGCATATCAGATTAGAAACAAAACTAGTTTGAGCACTGGTATCTTTCGGAAATCACTCACAACTCATTGGTAGGCCATGAAACCAATTTAGTGAGCTGCAGCCAGCACTTAAAAAAAGAGAAAAAAAAGTTTGTTATATGTACATATGTACTTATAAACTCTCTAAAACCAAAAAACCAAACTCACTGCCATGAAGTCAACTTGGACTCACAGTGACCCTATATGACAGAGTAGAACTGCTTCAGAGGGTTTCCAAGGCTGCAATCTTTAAAGAAGATTGCCACATCTTTCTCCCACAGAGCAGCTGGTGGGCTTGAACCACCGACCTTTCAGTTAGCAGACCTTTTGGTGAGCAGACGAGCTCTTAACCACTGTGCCACCAGGGTTCTTTATAAACTCTCTAGACACAGTCATATGTACATGTCAACTAAATCACAATACAAAATGTTATATTTTACTGCAGCTCAAAAGTTTGAAAGCCACTGCACACTGGGGAGACCAAGGATATGAATAGATCTATAATAGGGATACCAGTTAGAAGTGGCAAGAATCCACACAAGAAGTTATAAAGGCTTCAACAAGGACAGTGACAATGAGGATGGAATCAAGAAATGAGTTGATCCTATTTTCTCTCCTCACCTCCACTTCACTTACTCATCCACCCATTCCTTCATTCCACAAACATTTATTTCATGCCTACTTGGCCCTGGGTGGTGCAGTTAAGTGTTCAACTACTAGGTGAAAGGCTGGCAGTTCAAACTCACCCCAGAGGGACCTCAGAAGACAGGCCTGAGGCTCTGCTTCCGAAAGTTCACAGCCTTGAAAACCCTATGGAGCAGCTCTACTCTGCACACAAGGGGTCACCATGAATCGGAATCGACCCGACAGCAACTAACGTGCCAAGCAGCAGGAACCTCAAGGCCTCACACCAAGCAAAGGGTTTACTCTTTGTGCTTATCTCTTCAAAGGGTCCTAAAGCATGGGCCCAGTTTGGTGCTTTTGCTCAGAATGTTACCCCTCCTCTTTGCTCTCCAACCTCTCCCTAACTTTCAAGGCTCAAATCCCACCTCCTTTACCAAAGAGCTATGACTCACACCGATCTTTCTTCTGCCCAAAAATGCCCCCTCCCAAACGTGTTTTTCATTTTTATTTTGCAATATTCTGTAACTTTGTCACCTCCCCAACTCCACTGCAAGTTCTTTAAGGACAGACATTTAGTCATATAACTTTTGTATCCTCCAAAGCACCCGGAACTTTTTAGTACCTAACACTGTACTGAATTTTAGACACTGCCTCTTATTCAACAGATCCTTTTAAGCACCTGTTTGTATATCCAGTACTAAGTTAAGACAATGGAGTGCCACAATGAACAAGAAAGACGTGGCACCTGCTGTAATGAGGCTCACCATCTAGTAAAAAATACAAATACTAAACAAAAAGTTTCTAAGTATGTAGAGTTACAGAAGCAAAGCTCTGAATTCTCTCATGGGCCACTGCAATGACATTGTCATAAACATGTATTATCATAAACATTTTTACAGAAAAGTCGCAATATAATATGCACCCTTTGATAAGAACAAAGGGCACAATAGCAAAATACATAGACGGCACAACAGTAAAATGTAATTCTGTGACAACAATTCAAGGTGCCACACAGAACTACTGACTTCCCCAACCGTCCACTTACTTAGCTTCCTATAAAGATGGAGGAAGAGCTATCTGGGGGAATTATGAGGTACCTTCCTGTGAGAAACTCTTTTAATTCTCCTGGAATCCATATTTCTGGCTTTCATGAAGTTTGGGGGTAACCCACCGAAGGCCATTGCCCTTAGGTGTCCTTTGAACCTTGAAGAAAATGGTCTTCTAAAAATTCACCTTTAAGTCAAACAATGGTCCAGATAAACCAGTAAAAATCGGTTTGCCTTAGGCTGTGGGCTCTTTTGAAGAATTATCTAGGTGTAGCCAGTTTCCAGAGCCCTGGTAAAAACAGTGGTTAAGAGCTCAGCTGCTAACCAAAAGGTCAGCAATTTGAATCCACCAGCTGCTCCCTGAAAACCCTATGGGGCAGTTCTACTATGTCCCATAGGGTCACTATGAGCTGGAACCACCTTGATGGCAACAAGTGAGGCAGTTTCCAGGAACAGAAACTCCAAGGTCAGACTAGAAGCTGTGTTTTAGGGTAAACTGTTGTAACAGGCAGTCCCTGGGTTCCGAATGAGATCCATTCGTAAAGTGTACCTTTAAGTCAAATTTCAAGGTAAGTCAGAACAGGTGCATATGGTTCTTATTTAGCCTTACTTTAGTGCAAGAAAAGGCTCTAAGCCTTTTCAATGATTTAAAGCTGCATGTGCAGCAAAGTGAAGGTGATTATAATGAATAATTTGTTGCTGTGTAGGGGTTAGTTCAATCGTTCCAAAGTGAGGGCAAATTTACTTAACATTAAAGGGCAAGTTCAGCTGTCCATAAGTCTGATGTTTGTAACCCAGGGACTTTCTGTATATAAACACTGCTCTGGCCCTGTTTCCATGGCAATGCTGAAAGATACAGTTTAAGAATTTTGGAAGTTTTTCATTCTGGGAACATTTTTGACTTCCTAGTTGAAATGTTACCCTGATTTGCAAATTGTAAATTAAATAAAGGTCTGTCAAGTTCTACTACTGGCTTAATATTTTTGTTTTAATACCTGTCACAGTGACAGGAGGGGAAGAGGGAGAGAACACGTTAAAGAAGGAGTTTCTTTAAAAGACTCTGAACTACTTATAAAAATAAATTTTAAAATAAAAAACACACATACTTTATGACCTTAAGCACAAAATAAAAAACATACACACATACCTTATAGAAAGTTGCAACCCCCAGGGACATAACGAATGCTCCAATAATATGAAATCGCAGTCGCTTGGCCAGAAGGCCTCGCATCTGCGGTTTTGCCAAAACACTGGAAGACATGGTGGTTCTTCTCCCTGATAAGTAAAATAATAATAAAAGAAAATCCTTAGGACAGTAAAATAAGGAATTCTTATGCATAATACATTTTAGTATCTGAGAGGCACAAGCAGTGGACTGACTCCTACAAAACTGAGGGCATTTAATGGCTTCATCGGTTCCATCTTTTATTCTCTCATACACTAAACGATTATTACCCAAAGTATCTGAGATAACTGGGGCACAACACTAGTGAGCAAAAACTACAAACAAGAATCAATCCCAACCACAAAAATGACAAGTGGTGTTTCCATACTGGTAATTCTAAGCGCAAATGCTTACTACCAACTCATTAAATCTTCAAGACAACTATGTGAAGTAGATACTGTTAATATCCCCATTTTACTGATGAAAAAGGGGGGCACACGTGGCTTACGTAACGTTTCCAAGGTCACTTTTCCAAGGTCACACTGTAAAAGCTCTGATGGGAACCCAGGCAACTCGGCCTCGAAATCCCAAGCTCGTAACCGCTACACTGCAGCAAGGCCTCAAGCCCAGGCGCTGAAGGGCGCCGCGCGGGCCGCTCCCCGCGGACTTCCCTTCCCTACCTTTCTAACTCCAGTTACAAACGCCACCACAGCGAAGACCAACACCGCTTTACCTACGCTGTCTTTTACGCCTCGTGACCTGCTAAGGAAGAAACTACCACCCCTTTTTACGGGTGAAAACACTGGGGTCAGAAGGTTAAGTGACCTAGCCAAGGTCACACTGACTCGGAAAGACGAAGCCGGGGTCCGGCCGCCGCCCTCCTCAGGCCGCGGCAGGCGCGCGCAAGGGTCTCCACGGGCGAGGTCCAAGGCACCCCGACGGACACATGCGGAATCACCACTCAACCTCAAGAAAAGCAGACGGACGGCTGGGGCGGGGGAGGCGGCAGTTCTCGGAATCAGAACGTAGGGGAAACGCTAAAGCTAGCGGAGCTCACCTCAACACCAACGTCCTTCTGGACTGATGGAGAACCGGGCGAGTCGTCAGCAACGCGCAGGCGCAAAAAAAAAAAAAAAAGAAAGAAAGAGGACGCGGAGACGGTGGCCGAAGAAGTTCAAAAGGCCTTTGACGCAGTCACCCGCGGCTCACAGGTGGAGTTCCCTTGACTCTCCTTTGTGTGACTTGGAGAAAAAACTTGACTTCCTGAGCCGATTTCCTTACTAAATTGGAGATATTAATAGTACTTATACACCAAGTTCTTATGAAGTTATTAGGATATTCTAAGATATTTAGTATGTAATTTTTTTTTTTTAAATGTATGCTACAAATTATCCTGGGTGCAGGATTTCCAGAACTGTCTGCACAAAGCAATACTTACACTGTAACTACCTTTGCGCTTGTAACCATTTAGTTTGGGTAAAGAGCAAATAAGAGCCAGCTGCAGACCTCTGGGCACATAGCAGGTACTCAATCCAGGAGTTTAGAGGCCAGCAATTAATACTAATTCCATAAGATGGGAGCTACCACAGAAATGTGGCCCAGCCACTGCAGAAGCAACTACCTGCCTGGCAGAGCAGAGGAAATTTTGTTGGAAGAGAGGATATTTGTGTGCGGTTTTGAATAAAGGGTATATATTTTGAAACACTGAAGGCAGGCAATGTGGAGTTCATGGAAAATGATGTACAAGGGTAAGGCTCCTATGCCTTAGAAGTGCTGGGCTTGATTTTTTTTGAGATAACCAGGATTTTCACAGCATTATTTAAGTCAACTCAGTAAGCCTGTGGAAGAGCCACTGAGGGACACAAAAGATGCAAGATTTAACATATATTGATTGAGCACCTGCTATGTACCAGGCTCTGTGACACAGTGAGATCGATCCATTGTGGGTTCAAGAAGGTGCATTCTTGTCAGGGATTCTTTGTCCTCAACCTGCTAGCAGGCACTAGGGGAGTGATGCCTTTCAGCCACACAGAAAAGTGCTAATTGAAAGCCAGAAAGAGGGCCTCCAAGAATGCGTTTTGACCTAAGCAGCATTTTTTTTCGGGCCTCTTATTAAGGGTTTGTTGTTGTTGTTAGGTGCCGTCAAGTCGATTCCGACGCATAGCAACCCTATGTACAACACAATGAAACACTGCCCAGTCCTGCGCCGTCCTTACAATCATTGCTATGTTTGAGCCCATTGTTGCAACCATAGTGTCACTTCATCTCCTTGAGGGTCTTCCTCTTTTTCCCTGACCCTCTGCTTCATCCAAGCATAATGTCCTTCTCCAGGGACTTAAAAAAAAAAACAAAAAACAAACTCATTGCCATCAAGTTGGTTCTGATTTATGTCAAAAGTACTTGAAACGGAAGTCTCGCCATCTTTGCTTCTAAGGAGCATTCTGGCTGTACTTCCTCCAAGACAGGTTTGTTTTTCTCGCAGTCCATGGTTGTCTTAGTCATCTAGAGCTGCTATAACAGAAATACCACAAGTTGATGGTTTTAACAAAGAGAAGTTTATTTCCTCCCAGTTAAAGTAGGCTAAAAGTCCAAATTCAGGGTGTTAGCTCCAGGGAAAGGCTTTCTCTCTCTCAGCCTTCTCATCAGTGTTCCCCCGGACTAGGAGCTTCTCAGCGCAGGGACCCTGGTCCAAAGGACG